TTATTTTTTTTTTTTTTTCCAAAAAACTTTATAATTAAAAACGCGATTTTTTTTCCCGAAAATTCAAATTTTTTTTTAAATCCGCCATTTTGTTAAAAACTAAAATTTCGCTAAAACCTTCGATCAGGATCGATCTCGCTATACTCTTATATTAACTAATGCAATCGGGATACCTCTGGGAAAACCGCCATCACACGCTTAAAAATCAATATTTTTGCATGAAAATTTTTTGTAATACTCTTAGAATATACGTCTGTCATATGCTGAAACTTATTTTTATAAATACTTATACAAATCTTCAAAAAAAATTCCCAAAAAAGTGCTTTTTTCGGCCTTCTAAGTGCAGGTAACCCCTTAATTGAAAAATTGGCGTACCAGGCAGGCGCGTTCTAACCCGGGTGTGCAAAGGGTGCGGGACACACGGGCGCCACGCTTAAGAGGGCGACACGCTCGTGAAAATTTTTCAAAAAAATCTTACTTTTTAAAAGATTGTAAAAAGAAACTTTATTATGGAGTTTCTATGTAATAATTTAACTAAAATTATTGGTAACGACACTATCGTTTTACCAATAGTTTATCGTCTTACCGACAAATCATATTTCCAGATACGATTTCTATATATAATTTATTCAATGTAGGCGCGTAGTTAGAATTTGCTCTTCCTCTCTCTGTCTAAATGAGGCATTAGAAAAAAACGCATGGAAGAATTAGCGTTCAATTGTTGGTTTTTTTAAATTGAAATATATCTATAAAAAGTTATAAATAGAAGTGGCAAATCTAGCTTGGCACCCCGGCGCCAAATACCCTAAGAACGCCACTGGTACCAGGAGCATATTGGCATGTTTAAAGTATATACGTACAAATCAAACATAACCATCATTTATTATTGTTTACGATCGCAATGAGTATAAATATATTTTGCAGATGAATAAAATAAAAATTCTCTAGAATATCATTTCAAAAATTGGCAACCATAAACTAGATTCTGTGTTCCACTATGCTCTTCTGCTGTGTCCAACCGTGCTGTAGCGTGTCATTGTTGGAAAGCACCGTGTCTGACACCGTGTCGATGTGTGTCGCCTAAATGCCTTGATGGAAAGCTCCCCGTGTTTTCGTAACTGGGAAATTGGGGAGAAAATATTAACTGTTGAATGCTGCATTAACGTTCTAAAACTTGTTTTCTACTAACCCGCCATAAAAAAGATAGACTTATGTACATATAAGACACAAGTATGCGCGCAAATGTTAAATGCTTAAGAGACTCGCATTATTTTTTAGCGTTTGTTAAACCTTTTTATATCTTTTTAACTCCATCTCTCTTTATACTTGCACAGAGCGCAATCAACTTTAAGGATATCTAGATCTGAATTTTGACAAATTACTATATGCGAATTAACATTTACATTTACGAGATTGCTAATATTTTTTAACGAACGTCCCCAATATTACCGATATTATTTTTCTGCTCTCTTTTCTTTTTCTTTGATTGTTCTTATTAAGTTGTGATTTAAGGATTTCATTATTTAGTATGTTAAGTTTACTTTCTTGATATTTTTGCTCACAGAACTTTTATGTAATAATCATACATTGCGTACTTATATATTGTTCTTCTTCTGATATCGTATAAGTTAACTTAATTTGTGAATTCTCAATATAACTTATAAGTTAACTTTAATTTGTGAATGCTCATATAATTTATATGAATCTAATTCATGTTTTCAAATATCTATCACAGCAGTTTTGAAATGCATTTGGTGATGTGAAAAATTGCACATAATGCTTTTTATCATTTTTCTATACCTCTCTCTCTCTATTTGGACCTGCATTAATCCTCATCTTGCTACCCTTTTGATGGTATATCCTGCAAGCTGCGAATGATCGATGCTAAGGGGTTTGCTTGAGAATGATTTGATTTTAACGCATCCGAGAATGAGTACTTTGGTGAAAGTCGGCAAGCATCGTTTCCCGAAAGGTAAGGTGTGTTTGTGCCTTTTTCTTTACAATTTAAAGTACAATGACGCGATTTTACAGCTGTCTTGGCTTGGTGCGATTGATTTCAATACTTTGCTTACAGATTGCTACAGAAAATGCATAACTTAAATTGCTTCAAGTCGATATTATCACTTCACAGCGACTTAAGAATTCACAACTCTACAATAATTCGTTATTTGTGTTTTAGGAGAGAATACCGTAAATGGCGATCACTCGGATGCTCATCACAGTACTTTTTCGCAAAGTAGCAAGGAGGTTTGTCGCAATACTTTTAATATCAAAGTCACCGTACTTCATACATCATATGCGGGGAACCGGACTGTATGAACCGCGTTAATGTTTCACACGTTTCATTTTACGTGTACATCTTTCTGATTCTAAGATAATAGCAGAGACAGAGACGTACAGTGACGAAGAACGAGAAAGTTTAAAAGCGTGAAACGATCATCTTGTTAGAAAAAAAATCAATCCATACTTTTACGACATACGGACTTGTAAGAATCTCCGCATATGTACACGTCGGGGCTGCTTTCACACATTTACATTTTTATATATTATAAAATCGTGCAATTTACAAACGTCTGAAAACGCTGTTTCTACAGCGAAGGAATAAGCACACACATCTTTTGTATGAATAATTTTACCATACAGTCGCATCGTTCGTTCAAGCACAGTCGCTCGTAGAATTTCGCTTCTACAAACTTTTCACTTAATAAGTATATCCGGTTTGCATGCGACCAGACAATTGGCTAAATAGAACGATTAATACGAAAATTCGGCACTCTATGCATGTGCATGCAGAAAGGTATATGGTTATGGTTGGGACCTTCCGTGTTAAGGGTTCCATGTCGCAGGATGTGAGCGTTAGCGAGGAATCGCCAAAGAAGGAAAAGAAGAAGAAGAAGGGCCTTAGGACGCCGTCTTTCCTTAAAAAGAAGAAGGAAAAGAAGAAGTCGGTCGAGGCGTAGGTAGTCGTAGCTAAGGTACGTAAGCGATAGATTTTTATCTTTTGCTTTTTCATGTCTCGATCGATATTCGAGACATATTTCAATTCATCGAGAGCAAACGATTGTATTGGCAATTGATTAATTAGAGCGTTTTTAAATCTGTGAAATCAACCGAACGAGAGCCCATTATATATTTTATTCGCCAAGTTTTCCGTTATTGTAGTATTTATTTTCAAGTACTGCGAAATATATCGCTTTTTTCACCGGCAAAAAGTTTTTTGCAACTCGCTCGCTTGTTCGATCGTTCCAGTCGATACTCCTTTCGTGGAAGATTAATCCCAGACCGCATAAGGTAGGGAGAAGCATTCTTTTAGATTAGACTTGCGCTCTCGCCAAATTTTATTCGCATAGATGCAACGAAGTTCAAACATGTTTCTCAAATAGAATTACATTCGCGCGAATATCTAGCGAAGATAAAGTTTTCTAATAATAGTCGACGGAACGTGCGATAACAACACACAATGAGACTGACGCCGAACTAATCTGTATATTTGCAGACACTGCCACAAGCAAAAGCTTATCGTAAATAAATGAAACGAAAATACAAGTTTAAACTCAAGATCGGAGCGAGTTCGGTTTTAAAATAATGGACGAAATTCGACGAAGCACAGACGAATGGCGGATGATGAAAAGGAGAAAGCGGATATGCGGAGAAAGAATGAGAGAAATCGAAGTGTACGAGCAACAATCACAGCATCTTTCCAGGACTCAAGACTGCCATCGCATTACATCTACGATAAGGAAACTATATTGTACTGTTAATGTTTTTACGTTTTTAATTTGTTAAGCGTCGCGCTAATGTATTTAATCCGCTATTTAATTTTGCCTCTCCTATCCCGTTTGTGTGTAACGCAATAAAGAGTTACATATGCATACTTTGCGACGAAGACAGATAGAGAGGCGTCGTCATTGCCGTCTTGTCGTCGATATTAATGCCATTGCCATTGCCGTCGTTGTTGCCGTCGCCGTCGTTGCAGTCGCAATTTTCATCGTTTTCTTGCTCATCATCGTCGTCGTCGTCGTCACTGTCGTTGTCGCTGTCATCGTCGTCGTCGTCGCCGCCGCCGCCATCATTATCATTATTTTCATTATCATCAACATCGATATCATCATCATTATCGCCCCATCGCCACATAATCATAGTCATCCTCATCGCCGTCATCGACGTTGTTGCTATTTGCTCCTACTCTATTTTTTCCTCGCCTCAAAGATTTGCATTCTTTCATTTTATTTTCGATTGGCACTTTTTTTTAAACAAATTAATTGCTCGTTGAAACGTAAAAACAGCCTTCATCGATTGAGATTAGCTTAGCAATCGACAACTATTTTATTCCTTATCGTGTTTACTGATTTTACAATAGTTGATTATTAAACTTGCCGTTGCGTGTTACTTGCAATTGTACAGCGACAGTAACTTCAACAAATCAAACTTGATTGAACCAAGTAAAGTAAGCGGAATACCATTTTCTCTTTGAGTCGCGTCGTATTGAAATATTGATATATTCTATCGACTTTAATTAAATAAAGAATGATTCGCAGAGTCAGAACTACGATCGAAATGTTGCCATTTTTCTTTTCTTCCTGACATTCTCGCGTTTGCTCGTCGCAGCTGTCGAAGGACGTTGTACAAATCGATAATTCGAGCAAGTAATGATTACGTTTCTTCGTCTGTGGTTGATGCGATGAGGTGTTTTCACAACGTATATATTTAGTACAAATAAAAAAAAAAGATCGGCGTTGAAACTTTATCTTGTTATTTTGTTATACATAGATTCGAGTATATATGTAGTCAAAGAAACTGTGAAATGTAATATTCTAACGCGATTTACATATTCTAAAATAGTTTGAGCATTGAGATTATAGATCACATTCATGCTCGAAGTGGCTAGGAAGACTAGACAAAATACGTGATAATGTGGAACGAAATAAAGCGCACACATCTTGGGTTAGAGATTTGTTTTTCTCGATGCATGCGCGAAGTGATGATTAACGACGATATATTTTATTTCGTATTTTATCGAACGTGATGTTGATCGACCATGATTATTACTCTTTCGCTATTATTATTTAGTTTATCATTAATATTATTATTACGCTATTATTAGTTTTATCACTAAGACCAATAAAAATTACCATTGCCGCGCGACCGTTATATTTAGACCAAAACAAATTGCACGAGACAAACTCGTGGGGCAATATTGAATTGTGTGTACGACGTGCTTTCTTCTTCAGAATAACAGTTTATCCTGAGATCGCACGTGCTTCATACCTGACCTAGAACATTTGAAAACATTTCATCTATATATACTTTCTTCTCACCTTATTCTTCTCATCCCTCACTTGTGGTATTCATGTAATAATCGATAATAATTGTACAATCGAAGACATATATTAATGCATTCTATTGTAATTGGTTGATATAATATATAAATAATATTGCAAAATACACGAGAAATTATATTTTTAGATGTGCTTATATTTCGTTAATTATTTCTTTCATGCAGAGTCGAGTGATAATTTATTTTAAAAAAAATAAATACACTGTCGAAGATTTCGCTTATACATATCGCGAGATACAGAAGATAATTTAAATCAAAAGCAAAAATGAATGCAGTAGCTGTTAATATTTGTAGATTTGTAGATTGCGTCATACAAAATTGAGCAAAAAGAAAACTAATCAGTGGCGTAGACTAAAGTAATAATAGGTAGCAAGGATCATAGTAAAAATATATGAAATCAAAGGTAAGAATTTTGTTCGGTGATTTAATATTCATCCGCAGCATCACCCTCGCCATCGGTGGAGTCCATACCGACTTCCTCGTAGTCCTTTTCCAAGGCGGCAAGATCCTCACGCGCCTCGGAGAACTCGCCCTCCTCCATTCCCTCGCCGACGTACCAATGCACGAAGGCACGCTTCGCGTACATCAGATCGAACTTGTGATCGAGCCGCGCCCAAGCCTCGGCGATCGCCGTCGTGTTGGACAGCATGCAAACGGCGCGCTGCACCTTGGCGAGATCCCCGCCGGGAACGACGGTCGGCGGCTGATAATTGATGCCAACCTTAAAACCCGTAGGGCACCAGTCGACAAATTGGATGCTGCGCTTAGTTTTAATGGTCGCAATCGCCGCGTTCACGTCCTTCGGTACTACGTCACCTCTATACAACATGCAGCACGCCATATACTTTCCGTGACGCGGATCGCATTTCACCATTTGATTCGCTGGCTCGAAGCAGGCGTTCGTTATCTCAGCGACGGAGAGCTGCTCGTGATAAGCCTTCTCCGCGGATATTACGGGAGCGTAGGTGACCAGGGGAAAATGGATTCTGGGATAAGGCACCAGATTCGTCTGGAATTCCGTCAAGTCGACGTTGAGTGCGCCGTCGAAGCGCAGCGAGGCCGTGATCGAGGATACAATCTGACCGATCAGCCGATTAAGATTGGTGTAAGTCGGCCGCTCGATGTCCAAATTACGTCGACAAATATCGTATATAGCCTCGTTGTCGACCATGAACGCGCAATCGGAATGCTCGAGGGTGGTGTGCGTCGTGAGGATCGAGTTGTACGGTTCGACGACGGCCGTGGACACCTGGGGCGCCGGATAAATCGCGAACTCGAGCTTCGATTTCTTGCCGTAGTCAACCGACAGCCGCTCCATCAACAAGGACGTGAAGCCCGAACCGGTGCCGCCGCCGAACGAATGAAAGATTAGAAAGCCTTGCAGTCCCGTGCATTGATCCGCCAACTTGCGAACACGGTCGAGCACGAGATCCACTATCTCCTTGCCGATCGTGTAATGTCCCCGCGCGTAATTGTTGGCGGCGTCCTCCTTGCCGGTTATCAGTTGCTCCGGATGAAACAGTTGTCGATACGTACCGGTGCGCACTTCATCTGAGGGAGCATCGCAAGTTAGATTCAATTGCCCGATCGTAATTTTTTTTTTTTTTTTTTTTTTTTT